TTATTTTTATTTTAATTCCTTTATTCTTTTAATTGTTTTGTTCTTTTAATTATTTTATTCTCTTAGTTCTTTTGTTCTTTTGATTGTTTGTTGCTGCTGGTGTTCACTTTTTTCGTTTGTTTACCTCCCAGCTGTTCGTCTCTACTATTTGCTGCTGCTGAACTTGCTGCTGCTGCACTTGCTGCTGCTTCATTTGCTGCTGCTGCACTTGCTGCTGCTGTTGCTGCAGCAAGAAGACTTTACCTTCGAGGCGAACGAGCTGTACTCTCTGGACGTGGTGCTGTCAGCAGGTAAAAAGATTTATTTATTTATTTATTTATTTATTTATAATTTATTAAATTAATTTTAATTATATTTTGAAATTATTCCAAATCAAATTCATGAATTCAATCGCTCCAAATGCCCAGTCCAACAACCCCACCGCTGCTGCTACTGCTGCTGCTGCTGCTACTGCTGCTGCTGCTGGTGCTGCTGCTGCTGCTGCTGCTGCTGCCCCGCAAGAACTTCTTCAATCAATTGTTTATTTAATTATTATTTGTTATTTATTTATTATTATTTATTATTTATTTAGTTATTTATTTATTTATTATTAGGAGAAGGAAGAGCGCGGGAGTCTGCAGTGCGGCCTTCGGTCTTCAAGCGGGCGGTGGAAAGGAAGTACATTTTGAAGAGCCAGTTGGGCCGGGCCTTCATGAACCAAGTGGAGAACAGTAAATAAATAAATAATAAATAAATAAATAATAAATAAACAAATAATAAATAAATAATTTGTTTTAATTGGGTAGTTCGGTCTTCGTTGAAAAGCGCGGATTCCAGTTCTTCAGCAGCTTGTCCCAGGAGCTGATCTGCCCGCAGCAGCAAACGGCGCTGCTGCTGCTGCTGCTGCTGCTGCAGCTCTTGCTGCTGCTGCTGCTCTTGCTGCTGCTGCCGGTGCAGATGCTGCTTTCGCTGCTGCTGCTGCTGCGATGGGTGGCGCAGCTGTGCTGCTGCTGCTGCTGCTGCTGCTGCTGCTGCTGCAGCCATTCTTTCGCTGCTGCGAGCGCAACAATTGCGACTCGTGACTAAATGAAGCAGATGAATTGGAATTAATTATTTTTGAATATTTATTTATTTCTTTTATTTCTTTTTAGTTCTTTTGTTTGCTGCAGACTTCCCAACTCTCCCCTTCTCGCTGCGGCAGCTAGCTGACGAAAGAGCCTCCAAGGTCGGAGTCGCCGAGGCCATGCGCCACGAGCTCATCACCCCCTACGTCCCCACAGAAGGTCTCTTGCTGCTGCTGCTGCTGCTGCTGCTGCTGCTGCTGCTGCTGCTTTTGGTGCTGCTGCGGCTTGTACTGGTGCTGCTGCGGTTGGTGCGGCTGCGGTTGGTGGCGCTGCGCTTGGTGGTGCTGCTAGTGCTGCTGAAGCTGTTGTTGCTGCAGCTTTTGTTGCTGCATCTGTTGCTGCTGCTGCTGTTGATGGTGGTGTGCTGCTCCTTTTTTCGGTGCTGTTGTTGCTGATGCTGTTGCTGCTGCTGTCGCCGCTGTTGTCGTTGCTTTTATTGCTGCTGCTGCCATTGCTGCTGTTCTTTCTGCTGCGCTGCTGCTGCTGCTGCATGTGGAGTGATGCCACTGCTGCTGCTTTCGTGTGTACTGCTGCTGCTGCTCCGAATGCTGCTGCTCTTGGTCCTGCTATTTGTGTTGCTGCTAATGCTGCTACTGCTGCTGCTGCTGCTGCTGCAGACCGAGGCGGCGCTTTAACAGCACAATTCAAATGCACAGTACACCTGACGCCTTCTGGAGTCAAAAAGGCGAGCGAGGGTGTAGGGTTTAGGGTTTAGGGTTTGGAGTTAGGGCTTAGAGGGAAATGTGTAGACCCTTGGGGGTTTGGCGTGACCTTGAGGGTTCAGGGTTTAGGGTTTAGGGTTTAGGGTTGTGGGGCGTCGGGGTGGAGGCGGAGTTGTGGGCGCAGCTTCAAATTGGGAATTCTTAAGGGTTTAGGGCTTAAACAATAGAGTTTAGGGTCTAGAATTTGGGGTTTAGGGTTTAGGGTTTAGGGTTTAGGGTTTAGGGTTTAGGGTTTGCTGCGCAGGTCACGGGGCTGCCTTTTGTGCAAGAGCGCTTGCTGAAGGCCCCGGATTTGAAGCGGGAAGACCTGAAGGCTCTTTTGGCGGTTTCGCTAAACCCTAAAAAGAATAAAAAGAAGCAAAAGAGTGCAGCAGCAGAGGCCAGCAGCTAGAGTAGCAGCAGCAGCAGCAGCAGCGCAGGCAGCAGCAGCAACGCAGGCAGCAAACAGTCGACACAATAGGGGCTTCGGGCCCACGCAGGGCAGCCTCAGAGAGACACGGGCAGGGGAGAGGCAGCAGCGCAGCAGCACCTGCCGTCTTGCTGCTGCTGCTGCGGCTGCTGCTGCTCGACAGCAGCAGCAGCAGTGTCGAGGGGTCAACCGTGCTGCTGTTAGTGACTCGCATGCAGTAGCGACGCAGCTTTAGCAGAGGGAAGCGTTTCGCTCATTTGCTGTTCCTGCTGCTGCTGCCTAGCCTGTTGCTGGGAAGCAGCACAACCAGCAGCAGCAGCAGCAGCTACCTGCTGCAGCAGATGGTTGCTGCTGCTGCGGCGGCGCTTTATGCTGCTTCCGGATAACTTGTTTGGTCACTAAGAGAGGCAACGTGCTGCAGTGTACTGGAAGTGGGATACGGAGCAGCAGCAGCAGCAGGGGGGCGAAAATGTCTGCTGCTGCTACAGCAGCAAACCGCGCCACTTGCTGCTGCTGTGGCTGTTCTGTGCTGCAGCAGCAAGCCGCGCCACTTGCTGCTGCTGTGGCTGCTTCGCGCAGCAGCAGCAGTGAGGCCTGATATTCCCTTTCTTAAACAGCTAGGGTTTAGGGTTTGTAGCAGGGTTTAGGGTTTAGAGGGCCTCTGAGCCTCAAATTTAGAGGAGAGAAATGAAATGAGGAGCGGCAGGAGCTGCGGGGTCACTGCAGCGCTGCAGCGAGCGTGAGGTGACTAGACACCTCACGACCAGCCCTCTAAAACCTCCTCAAAAACCGAATTTTCATTTATTTCATTTTAATTTAAATAAATAATTCAAAAATAAAGACCCTATGGCCAGCAGAACGCGTGTGTGGGGCCCCTGGGGCCCCATGAGGCACTTGGGGGCCCCCAGGCAGCTCAGGGGGCCCCCAGGGGCCCCTGGGGGCCCTCGTGCCGCCTTCACAAACCCTAAACCCTAAACCCTAAACCCTAATTTTGTAGAGGGATTTTTATTTGGGGCCATGTGGTGTTTGTTGTTTGGCTGGCGCTAGGCAGCGGGCCCTAAACCCTAAACCCTAAACCCTTATCTCTAAACCCTAAACACCGAGTCTTTACCTCCGCCTGACGCTGCTGCTAAGCCTTCGCGTAAACCCTCATGAGACCTCAAATCATAAACCCGTGAAGCCCATGGCAGCAGCAGCAACAGCAGCGGCAGCAGCAGCAGCAGCAGCAGCAGGAGCTCCCAGGCTTCCCTTGGGGGGGCCGCTCGCTCTCCACCGCTGGGGGCCCCCCACTCTGTGGAAGCGGCCCACGGCGCAGCAGCAGTTGCTGCTGCTTCGCTGCTGCTGCAGCAGAGATGGTGGTGTTCCTGCAGCAGCTGGGCAGCAGCAGCAGCCGCTGCTGCGCGGCTGCAGCAGCAGCAGGACTATCTCCCCTGTAAGAAGCCAGTTGCAGCAGCAGCTGCTGCAGCAGCAGCAGCTGTATCAAAATCGCTGCTGGAGTAGTGTCTCCCACAATGAGTCTCGGGGTCATGTGCCTGCAGCAGCTGCTGCTGGGAGCAGCAGTAGAAACAGCAACTGCAGCAGCAGCAGCAGCAGCAGCAGCGGCAACAACAACAACAGCAACAACAACGGCAACAGCAAAAGTAGCAGGGGCCGTACCAGGCGCCGGCCACGACGCGGTGCTTCCAGCTCCCCCAGCAGCAGCAGCAGCAGCAGGAGCAGCAGCAGCAGCAGCATAAGTGCAGCAGCACGGCGGTCTTTTGTGCAGTTCGGCGTTGCTGCTCCTTTGCTGCAGGCAATAGCGCGTTTGGGTTTGCTGCAGCCAACAGAAATTCAAGAAAAGGCCATTCCCGTAATAAAGAAAGTGAGTCTTTTTTAATTATTTTATTTCCTTTTGTTTCTTTTATTCACTTCTGCTGCTGCTGCTGCTGCTGCTGCT